TCCTTACTTCACCATGCATTGAAAATTCTATCATGTCGTGATTGCTGTGCCCAAGACGACCTTCAACCACCACATCTTCCACCAGTCCTTCCCTGTTCGTAAACAGTAGGTCTAGCAGGGCACTACCCCTGGTAGGTTCACTTACCAGCTGTAACAGAAGTTGTCATCCACACATTCCAGAAACCTCCTGGACTGCCCCCTTTCTGCTGTGTTGTACTTCCAGCAGACATCTGGTAAGTTAAAGTCCCCCACAAGAACAAGGACTAGTGAACACGAGACATCTCTGAGTTGTTGAAAGAATGTCTCGTCGGTGTCTTTATCCTGGTCAGGTGGTCTGTAGCAGACTCCCACTAGGATATCAGCCTTGCCCATATCCTTACCCATAAACATTCCACCTTGGTGTTCCTAACATTGTATTCTAGGCAGTCAAAGCACTCTTTAACATATAATGCTACTCCACCACCTCTCTTTCCTTGCCTATCCCTCCTGAAGAGTCTGTAGCCATCCATTGCAGCACTCCAAGCATGCGAATCATCCCACCACGTTTCTGTGATGGCAATTATATCATGGTTCCCCTGGTGCACAATAGCCTCTAACTCCTCCTGTTTATTGCCCATGCTCATTTCCATAGCCCTCCCCCCACTACCAAAACTAAAACTGAAACCCCTCACAGAAAAACCCAATACAAGAACTGAAGTAGGGTCAAGTATCTCTAATTAAAAAAACAAACAAACAAACAACTTTTAAGAAGCTAATGGGTAAGGTATGCTTCAGTGACTACTGTTGACTCTTTTTATTTCTCCACTTAAAGCTTGCCTGCTTTGATTTTTAAATCCAACTTTTATTTACAAATACCTGTTACCAGCTTTAATTAAAATCTAGGAGTACCCTCTGTGCCTAGTAATACCTCCAGGGTTTTATGCTCTTACTGATTGGCAAGAAAGTGGATCTTGCACTATGTTGGGTTTGTTAACATATGGTTTCAAGGAAGGACTGTAGCACGTATGCTTGTGAGATTGTCGTGGTTTAACCACAACACCTGGCAAGCAGCTAAACACCACACAGCTGCTCACTCCCTGGTAGGGTGGGGAGAGAATTGGAGGAAAAAGGTCAGAGCATTCATAGGTTGAGATAAAAAACAATTTAATGGTTAAAATAAACAAAACTGAAATAGTAGTAGTAATAATAATAATAATAATGATGAATTGTTATAAAAATAGGAACAACAATAATAAAGCAACCAAAATTATACTCAGCTCAAACAGCAGTCATTGGTCATGCACCATCAGAAGAGGGCTGTCCCCAGCAAATTCCCCAATTTATAGGGAGTGTGATGTTTATGGTATAGATATATACTCTGTTGGCCCGCTTAGATCACCTATCCTGGAAAGCCCTGGACTTTTGCTTCCCCCCATCCTCTTGTGCAGAGGAAAAGGAAAATAACCCCCAAAAATGGAGCACAGGTGCAGGCAAAATGAAAAACAGTGAGTCCTCGAGTTAATGTAAGCATTGCTGGCAACAACCAAAACAACAGTGTGTTATCATTATTCTTCTTAGCATGAATCCAAAGCAAAGCCTCACTAGCTACTATGAAGAAAAATGGCTCTGTCTCAGCTAAAACTAAAACAAAGTGTCTTACCAACTTGTTTACACTAAATCAAACACTGCAGTGCTCTCAGAAATGCAACTCTGCTGAATAGAAAAATTGAATTCTACAGTTCAATCCCAGTAAAACTGGGACAGAGATGCATAAAACCTGCTCTGCTTGGTTCATAACAGTGTAAGCCATGGTCAGAAACTTAGTGCAGGTGACAAACGCCAAGCTAATATGCTGGCTAAGTAGTTGGATAGCTACTTTATGCTAAGCTATACCTTCTTATTACCTTCTTAGTAATTTTTAGGTACCTAACTAGCTGCTTCTCAGATTAAGCTGCAAATTTAGATCACAGATACACCTTACTAGTGTTTGGGAACAATAGTTGAGCATAATCTTGACTTAGAAATCTGATTTTTTAGGAAACTCCATCTGGACCTTTTAACAGTGAGGTAACAGAAGAAATTGGTAAGACCTCACTTATGGCTGAAGAGGAAACAGCAAATGAAGTTCTAGGTAGTGAATCAAAATTGCAATCTAAGAGTCAAGGAGAAGAACCGTTAACACTGTTTGTTCCATTAATTCTTGAGTCTTCAACAAAACCTTCAGAAGACACTGTATCAGAGGTGAGAGAATTGAAACAAAGTGTTGTCTTTCCTTCAGAGTGTACGTACCTTGCTATTTTTTCTTTTGTTACATAACAGATAGAAAGTAGCCCGTACTATCATATGAAATTCTTGGGAGAAGCAGTTATTAGGCCAGATGATGTAAATACATAAATGGAATATACTAATAGTTCTGTTTTAAAATGCAGAAGTGGAGTGTATAAGTATGTGATACTGAAAAGAAAGATATGTTACTCCAGTTTGCCTTGGCAGTAATGAAACAGCTATTTCTCACTAAAATATTAGTTGAAAATCAGTGAAAAGCCATGTCCTTACTTTGTCTAGTAATTCTGCCCTGGTGAAGTGTACAAGCAATTAATCAATGGTAAAACACCCTTCTAGAACACAGATTTTACTGATTTTGTTTATAGTGCAAAAGCAGATTGTTATACACTAGCAAAATGATAATTGTATCTGTCTAAAATAAAACACCTTTATTTTTTGCCCCGGAATATTCAGAATGTTTTTACTGTAACTGAATAATCCATTGAATAATTTGAATTTGAAAATAGGAGAGCAATTCTGGATATCAAATGCAATTCACAAAATAGTCACATGCAAAAAAGAGGACTGGTTTGTTGATTGTGCATGTAGTCATGCTGAATGCCAAAATAGCCTCCAAGGTTGCTCACTAGGGGCAGTAGTTATTTAGCCTCTTGTATCTTCAATTAATTGTCTCTTTGATTGTTTTGGCACCTTTCCCCTCCCCCTGCAGGTTTTAAATGCAAATGATTCAGAAGTGCTGTCTGAAGAAAGCACATCAGTAGATAAGGAGGGCACTGAAGAACAAGAATCTGAAAAGAAGTCCTCATCCACTGAAAATGCAGCTGCTTCAGCACCCAAGGAAGAACCCTCTGACAATGGCCTGCCCAACTCTATGGTAATTGAAGAATCTGTTTCTGTAAATGTGTTGCCCAAAACAGCTTCCTCATTAGAAGATCAAAATGAGGAAGCAGGGCACAACTCACAGGAGGCCCCTGTTACTTTGAGTCAGAGCTCTTTCATAGTGGTTGAACTCGAGGGTGTTTCTTTTCAGCAGCCTTCTGGACAGGAAGTACAGAAGAACCAGTTGGAAGAACACTTGGAAGAGTTTACTGAGCAGACAGATCAGTACACACAGACAGTGGCAGAGCGGGCTGCTGACAGCAGCTCTGAGGAAGCAGAAATTGAGGTACCCATTGTAGATCGGAGAAACTTGCGAAGAAAGGCCAAAGGTTACAAAGGTCCACTCAAGAAAAAAGGAAAGCTGGCTTAAAAATGAAATATTGATTGTTAATTCATCTATTATTTTGTGTTAAACGTTAGGGTATGTGATAAATGATTTAGCCTCAAACAG